GTTTATAATTAGCTAAATATCTCTTAACTATACTTGCGCTTAAAACTTTACTTTAAGCTTTAAATAACACTTTATAAATGTACTAGGCTAGTTTATGTAAATATAGCCTAGATTATACTTAGCGTATAAAGAATTAGCTATAACGTACTTCATGGGCGAGTTGCTCACACACCTGAGTCGCTTACTTTTGCCAAGACCCCACCCTAACAAACTCTATTATAGCCTATAACAACCCGCTCTAGCACTATATAGTACAGTACAGCCTAGAATATTATTTAGATACTACTTCTGCTTTTTGCTTACACATTTATGTGTTATGCCTAGTCTAATTACACTGTCTATAGCGCCTTTAGGATAGCTTACCTACTTTAGCTTACACCTGCTTCTTTGCCTTCTTCCTGTTACTGCGCGCTCTAAACTCCTTTAGAGCTGTTAAGCGTAGGCTTTTTTAAATTATTAAAGTTTTTTTTGCCTTAATTTACTTTTTTTTATATAATTTATGTTACGTAGTAGCTGTAACGGCGCAGGCAAGACAATGGGTCCGAATACGGTGGGAGTCCACTCAGAGGCATATGGGAGTGCGTGGGGACTCTGAACCTGGGAATGCCATTGACACCTATAGGCCTTGTACGTAGGATATCAGAAAACTACCGAGCTAGCTACGGGGGCGAGGTGCGACTAAATACATGAGGGAATAGGGGTACAGCAGGGGGCAGGGCATAGTCGGGGCCAGGTCGAGGTCGGGGCCGATACGGGGGCCTTCCGGAGGTTCCGGGCGACCTGAGATGGAACGAGAATTGTTACAGTAGCCTTATTAGCTGCTTAAAGCTTAGTAATTTCTTATTACACTAATACTAGCTTATACATAATTATTACTGCCCTCTTTAAGACTTTTTTAAACACTTTAACTATAAAAGTTAGTAAACTATTTATATACTTTTAAATTTTTATTTTTATAAGCATTAATTATAACCTAAATTTTAAAGTATTGCTTAGAGTTTGTAACTACTAAAGCTTGTTGTATATAAGTAGTAGTAGTAATAGAGTGCGCAACTTTATATTAAGGCCTATTATAACTTATTATAAGTTAAAAGGAACTAATCTAGCGCCTTAGAACTCTTTTTAGATATTACTAGAAGTAATTATAGTATTATAAGCTACTTTAAAGCATAGTAAGAACTTTATTTTTATAATATAAGTAATTTAGTTATATATAAAGTTTTTAGCTTAGTGCTTATACACCTTCTTTAAAAGAGTAAAACAACCTATATTAAGTAGCTATAAGAGGTGTAATAAGTAAAAAAGTATATAAATAGTAATAATTTTATTATCTTTATAGTATTACTAAAAATAAAGTAAGTTATAGCTTTTATAGCTATTAATAACTAGTAGATAGTAGCTGCTAATAGTATGCTTTTTTATATGCACATTAAAGTGCTTTAACTAGTCTAGACTAAGCTAATTAGTAGTCTAGCTATGCTTAGAGATTATAATAACTTAATTTTAAAGTAGATTTTTTTTATACTAGTTTAAAAAGTAGTTGCTACTTTAAAAAATAATAAAAGGTAGAATAGCCTACCTTTTAGCATTAATGCTCTAGATAGCTGTTATCTACTTCTAGTTACCTAGCTAGACTACTTTTAGCTGTCCTTATCTCTCTAAACTTATAACAACTACTCTAGTAGATATCTAGCCTATTATAAACTTTATTTTATTAAAGTTATATATATTATTATTCTAGATGCTATACTTACTTTTAATATTCTTTATAAAGTTAAACTAGCTTTAAATTACTATAAAAATTTTTATAAAAAGCTTTTTTATAGTTATACTTATACTTAAACTTTACTTTAAGCTTTAAGTAACACTTAATAAATATATTAAGCTAGTTTATGCTAATATAGCTTATATTATGCTTAGCGTGTAAAGAATTAGCTATATTAGCTATAGCTACTAGCTAGAGAGGAAATTCTTGCGTATTTAGCTAAAGTATGTACTAAATAATTACTTACTTCTTATTATTATTTAGCTTTTATAAGTTAGCTATATAATTAGCTTAGAAAAGTTATTTAGTGTGTTAGTTACTTATTATTTTTTAAAAGACTTTATAAATAGCTGCAGCATATTAGTTAAAAAGTGTTATGTTTTATTTAAAAGCTTAAAGTATAAGCTATATCTAACATTCCTTTAACATATTTAAGTAGTGTTATTAAAAATGCATTAGTGTAAAAAAAGTAGTGTAGTAAGGTCTTAGCAAAAGTAAGTAACTTAGGTGTGTAAGCAACTCGCCTATGAAGTACGTTATTAGCTATAAATGCTATCTAAGGGGAAATTCCTTACGCATATAGCTTAAGTATAGTCTTAACAATTACCTGCTTCTTTTTATTGCCTAGCCTTTATAATTTAGCTGTAGAATTAGCTTATAAAGGTTATTTAGTGCTATAGTTATTTATTATTTTTTATAAAACTCTGCACATAGCTGTAGCACATTTCTTTAAGAGTTTTATGTCTTATTTAAAAGCTTAGAGCGTAAGCTGTATTTAACGTTCTTTTAGCGCGTCTAAGTAGTGTTATAGGGAATGCATTAGTGTAGAAAGAGTAGTTTAGTAAGGTCTTAGTAAAAGTAAGCAACTTAGGTGTGTAAGCAACTTGCCTGTAAAGTACGTTAAAGCATTTTTTAATTCTTTATCTTTAAAGTATTATATTTAAGATTAGGTTAGTTTTTAACATAGAAATTTATATATATTTTAAGCTTAATTACTATATTAATTATAAAATACTACAACAGTTCATAAATGATCTGTAAAAGCAAAGCTTGCTTAGAGTAATTGTTGCAACTACTAATTAGAGAGCAATAAGAAGCAAGTCTATTCACTATAAGAGGCTTATAGAGAGCTTAGGCGCTAAGTGTCTTAGGCTGCTTGTCTGAAACACAGGCGCGACACTAGGCCTATGTGCGCGACGCTAGGTCCCTGTGCTCTTCTTACGCAACAGTAATAGTTAGCGTATTAAAGTAGGTTATCTAGGTTAAAGAATAGTTACAGCATAATGCTTAGCAAAGTAGTATTAGATAGGTAATAAATGTATAATAACAACATTTAACTATAGCATGTAACTAATCTATTTGCAGTAGTAACACTTAGATGTGTTGTTACTATAGTTGCACAATAGTTAGATGTGTTATCACATAATAGTTAGATGCGTTAGCACTATAGTTGTATGCATCTTAGCACAGTCTGTTGCTAAGACCCACCTAATTATTTTGCATATATATAGACTCCTATAAAGGACTCCTCTAGCAATACATTTAATGCAGTTCCTTATGTCTCTAGTGCCTTACATAGCTTCACATAATCACTAACACACTAATATAGCTAAAAAAAAGTAAATAATAGTTAGCTCTAGCTCTTAACACGTTTGTGCCCTTACAATAGTCTTCCTTTGTCACAGTTATGTTACAGCTATCTAACCCCTGAGTACCCTAAGGGCTTGGCACAGGGTATATAGGCTCCTCGGCCTCTGTACCTCTGCCTCTAACCTTAAGGTTTACTCTCTCTTGTTACCCCCCTATTCTGCATTCCCTCTCTGTAACCTGTGTTTCCTGCTTAATACCTCTCACATCCTCCCCTTTGCACCTTGCAGTCTCTAGTGTTGTGTAATAAGGTAGACGCCCTGCCTGCTAAGCTAATACTATACAACTTTCCCTACTATACTAAAAGGTACGCACGGGAATACTTAAGCTAAGTATTCTAGCATAGTATAATATATATATAGATAATGCTAGGGCTAGCACTAGCACTAGCAGTTGTCTCTAGTCTAGCCTAAACCTCTATAAGCAAGAGAAGGCTATGTGGTTAACTGTGCCTACCTTGTTACACATTGCGTCTGTTCCTTTTACTGCCTAATACTGCCACGCTATGCCTAATACTGCTACCTAATATCTTTAATTTAATTGTTTTAGCATTAAAGCCCTAGTTATAGAGCTGCAGCTTGTGTAGTTTGTTGCCTCTGCAGGAATTTCTTAGAGTGCTAGGGAGCTCTAGCGCTGCCTCTGCCTCTGCCTCTGCCTCTCTATGGCCGCAAAGATTAATGTAGTACATGTAATACTTTAACAAGCTGTTTTGCTTACATAACTGCTAGTTTAGCTTCTTTAACTACTGTTTAAATATAATAGGCTAATGCCTAGAGATGTTAGTAAGAGATTACCTACTAGCGTTAAGAAATGCATAAAGTAAATTACAGCAAATTGCAGTAAACTACAGCAAATTGCAGCAAACTACAGCAAATTGCGGTAAACTATATCAAATTGCGGCAAACTACGGCAAACTACAGCAAACTATAGCAAATTGCAGCAAACTGCAGTAGATCACAGCAGCAGGCAGTAATCTCTAGTAGATATTAGTTGTGTTACAAGTAGCTCTACGTATAGAGAGGGTTATATAGGGGTAATGTCTCTAGAAAAAAAGCCTTAAAAAGGATAGCAATAATTGTACATAAGCTAGTGTTAGCGTAATAGGAAATTACAAAGCTTTAAGCAGCTAATAAGGCAGCTACATTTAGAAAAGCCT